GTATTATTTGCTGTTAAGTATATTTCATACTAATTATATCCTAAATTTTTATTCAGGTTGACGGAACTTTCCTTACTGGGAAGTACAGAGGATGTCTTCTAATTGCCACTGGCGTTGATGGAAACAGGCGGATTTTCCCGCTTGCATTTGCATTAGTGGAAGGGGAGAACAGCTTAAGTTGGGCTTGGTTCTTTGACCAACTGCACGAACACGTGACACAGCGGGAAGATATTACGATTATATCAGATCGACATGCGGGGATAAGGAATGCTGTTGGTGGTTTTCCCGACGAGTGGGGGTGGAGATGGAGATGGTGTATTCGACACTGGCTCGCCAATTTCCAACAAAAATTTGGGAAGAAGAAAGACATCAAAAATCTACTTTGGAATGCAGGTACTAATGTTTTTCTTATGCGATTTAAGTTTGTGTTTATTAAGCTGATAAGCTGATGTTATTCATCATGTATTGACTAGTTAGTCTTTTGTTCACCTTTTAGCGGTTGCACATCAACCAAAAAAGTACGAGCACATAATGAAAACGATCCGTCAGACCCACCGAGCTGGAGCAGTATGGGCTGAAGGTCAAGAGTTGCCCATGTGGACGTTCCATATGGACAACGGGGCCAGATGGGGCATTGCAACTACCAACCATGGAGAAAGTATAAATAATGTGTACAAGGGTCTTCGAGCGATGCCTATTTCTGTCATCGTGGAAATGTCTTATTGGAAGGTCAACGAGTGGCGAGTTGCTCGGCTACAGCTAGCTATAGGGAGGGAGTTGCAAGGTCATTCAGTAGCACATGACGTATTCGCTCAAATGCAGAAGAACGATGAAAAATCAAGTAAGCATAAGGTTGTTCTTTTTAACCGCAGTGAAGGAATATTCGCTGTCGAAACAGGTATATGGGGTGGAGGGAGACGTGGTCACAATCGTCAAATGGTCAAATTGCACTACGAATTAGGGGAGTGTTCTTGTCAAAAGTATCAGAACGAAAGGATACCCTGTTCACATGCAATGGCGGTTGCTAAGTCAATAACCATGAACAGAAACAGCCTGGTGAGTCCTTACTACACTGAACAAGCGATACGGAACTCATATAATGCAGCTTTGAGCCCCATGCCAGATGAAGCGTATTGGCCTATATACGCTGGAAAGTTGATTATCCCACCGTTGCACCTAAAACGCACCAAAGGCCGTCCTAGAGTTGAAAGGATACACAATGAGATGGATCAAGTTGAACGGACGAGAAGGGGACCGAAGCGATGCTCTAAGTGCAGACAACCTGGTCACGACAAGAGGCGTTGCCCAGGACAACCATCAACTTAATTTGCATTTACTTGTATTCTGCTACTAAATTGATCGCTTGTTTAATTTTTCATTACCGTTTGCATTTGAAGTCCAAGTATTTTGTTAAATCTAAAATGTTTTCCTTGTCGATACGACCGCGCGGCCGCAAACGGCTCGTTATTTCGACCTCAAACGAATAAGATACGGGCGTTTTAGTTTATAGTACGCAAAAGTTACTTTAACGATACGATCACGCTTTGACGTCACTTATCTCACTCGTTTGGACTCGGAATTGGGATCTGTAAATATATTTTAGAATGAGGGAGATTATGATGACTTACCACCGAACCCATCACAGCACCTTGCTTTGACACCCATCTCAGGGTGAACTTCCGATACCACTGCATGTACCCATCGTGGTAGCCCATCGGTCTCGTCTCCGGCATCCCTTGCACCACCCATTGGGATCGATTCTCCCAGATGTTGATGTAGAATCCATGCTTTAGCGTCCAGTTTGCATTGTTTCGGAGGTCCATATCATGTAGCTCCCTGAAACCTGCTGGCGGGTCTTGTGGAATTGGTTGCTCCATTCGATATTGCCTGAGGGATCGATCGGGTAGGTGCCATTCCACAATGTGCCAACAGATCAATGGCACCTTGCACAACCACGTCTCGTGATCCAGAGGGTGCCTAAGATGATGCAGCTCAACCACTTCACGTGGATATGGATCCCATATAACCTAAAATCACAAAAATTCGGAATTAACGACCATTTACTTTGATAAAATTGATCTTGTTCAAATATGGACAAAACATGATTACCTGATTCCACCATGGTTTATCTAACTCAGAACGATAAAACAGTAACGAATGCTCAGGCTGATGGTCATTCGTATTTGCTCCTATCCACCTTGTAAGTAAAAGTACGGAATAAATTCAATTTAAATCTAGCTGAAGCATGTAATCAAAAGTTAAATTGGGCTAAGTACGGAATAAATTCAATTTAAATCTAGCTCAAGCATGTAATAAAAAGTTAAATTGGGCTAAGTACGGAATAAATTCAATTTAAATCTAGCTCAAGCATGTAATAAAAAGTTAAATTGGGCTAAGTACGGACTAAATTCAATTTAAATCTAGCTCAAGCATGTAATAAAATTTAAATTGGGCTAAGTACGGAATAAATTCAATTTAAATCTAGCTCAAGCATGTAATAAAATTTAAATTGGGCTAAGTACGAAATAAACTTACTTGACACCGTAGGGGAGATTTTGCAGAAGGTTGAGCTCATCATCGTTTCTCCGGTATGGACGTGGGTCGAGAGGTGCGAACATTGGAAGATGCTCCCATACCCACAGTTGAACGATGAACATCGCAGCACCAGCTTGCTTTGCCGCAACCCTCGAGCAAGTACACAGCTCCCGGTATACGCCCGCTAGCACGGCCGATCCCCAACTCTTCTCTCCAATTGCATCCCAGTCACCGGTGAGCAATGGCAACCATATGCCTTGAATCCACCGGTTGGACTTGTCGGGGAACAAAAATCCACCCACCAAACCGATGAGGTAGATGCGGGCGTAGCGCTCGACTTGTTCTTCCGGTGTCTCGTCATTGATTTCCACCTCTTGCTGGATGTGAGATACCAGCCACGGGACCGACACTTGCCCCGCATTCAACGGTGGATGCCCCCGTCCTTGATTTGGTGTGGTGGTCGGCATGTCGAAGCCCAAACGATCACGGATGAGCGGCCCCCAACCTCCTCCGGGTTTGGTCGTGGAACCAATGATGGCATCTCCAGATATAGGAAGCCCGGTGAGGATCGCCACGTCTTTGAGGGTGATCGTCATTTCCCCCTCCGGAAGGTGGAATGTATGGGTTTCGGGACGCCATCGTTCCGCCATTGCTGTAAGCAGCTCGTTGTCGATCTCGATCCGCAAGAAATGGCGCAACATTCCCAAACCGGTCCTCGCTATATAGGGCTCCAACCTTGGATGCCAAGCGGGCAAGTTATTGGTCCCTTTATGAACCACGGGAACAAGAGATTCCTAAAAAAAATAGGAAAAACATCAATTTATTAGATTAAATAAAGCAAAATAAAACATTAGAAAATAATAAAATAAAGCAAGTCAGTTCATCAAATTACCGGATTGTTATCCCAAATGGCACGGGAGCGATGCATTTCTTGATCGGTTAAGAGACTCGCATCCCTTGGGCCATAATGGATATACAATCGAGGATCGTATATCTCGGCACCCATCTATAAAAAAGTAATGAAATCAGAGATTGTTTTGATAAAAAATAAATCAAATTGTTTCGATTAAAAAAAATCACAAACCAAAAACCTACACGAAGAGCCTCTTCGTCCATTATTGGCGGAAGCCGGACAGAGGTTCGACGAGTTTAGCTTTGTAAAGGACGGGAACTTAGCGGGACGGGGGCTTTAGGGTCAAACTCTAGTAATTCTTTCTGATGTGGAAGATCGGACTTAGCCGCAACCACAGAGCATACTTAGAACGAGACTAGAGCGGATAAATTGAGGGAGAAAGAAGTGAAATGTTTGTGGGGTGAGTTGAAAGTGAAAGGGGAAGGGGGTATTTATAGTTTGGGGGAAGGGGGGAGGAGCTGCTGCGCAGTTATTAGGGCTCCATTCACCGCGTTTGACGAACGCGGTGAACTCACCGCTTTAGCCGCAAACGGTGAATGCAAAGGTGACGTGGCGTGCTGTGAGGCGTCGGATCGTGGGAAGAAAACCACGATCCGCGTCTCACCGCATCTAACGGCCACGGTGAAAGCACATTGGCGCGGATCGCTGACGCAAACAAACACGGGTTATTCACCGTGTTTGTCTAACGCGGTGAATAACCCGTGCTGTCCACGTCAGCAATTTCACCGCGGCCAACAAACACGGTGAAGCCTTCACCGTGTTAAATAAAAACGGTGAGGTATTCACCGTTTTTAACAAAAGCGGTGAACCCTTCACCGTTTTAGTTTAAAATGGTGAATACATCACCGTTTTTGTTTAACACGGTGAAGTACTCACCGTGTTTGTCAAACGCGGTGATGACCTTCACCGTTTTAGACAAAAACGGTGATGCTCAAACATGTGTAGTTTTGGAAATTTTTTTATAACTAATGTATTTTGGGAATTTTTTTTAAAAACTAGTGTACTTTGGGATTTTTTCCTGAATTTGGTGATAGAAGAAATTGATATCAATTATGTCAGGAAACATCGAAAATGACATGATAAGCACTATTAACCTGTTTTCTCTCTAAAATTTACCATCACTCTTTTCATTAACGTAAACATGGAGAACGTAAGTTTAGAAAATATGAATTTAAAAAATAATCATAAATGCTTGAAAAAAGAGAAAAACAAAAACATAACACTTTAATTATTACGTTTTTATCAAACTTCATTCGGCCAATGGGCCGTACCCAATTCTAGTGAAAATAAAATAGGGAATCATGAAAGTTTGGTTTGGTTGGTTGCATGGAAGTATAAATAATTTTGTATATTAAGTGTATCAATAATTGGTTAATTGGTTTTATTGGTTAGCAGTGTTGAAACCAAACCACCTAAACCAAATAAGCTAAATTGTTTAACCAAACCAAACCAAACCAATTATCCAAATCAACCAAACCAAATTCACCGAATGCTACGGGTTAATATGATTACCATGGTAACCAATCCGTTTGAACACCACTTGCCCTAACCCCTAGCACGATTCAAGAATCGAAGAAGCTTTCTTCTCCTCTCCAGTTCTCAACCCGCCACTGCTCTTCTTCTCTAGCTCACCGCTGCATCTTGGAGTCTGGCGATCGGTGACGGCAGCGAGACAACGAGCTTGGTTGCCCGAGAATGCCGCCGACTCTCCCTCCCCTGGCTCGACCGTCGTTCGTCTGCTCCAGCCAGCCCTGCCTCTGGCGACCGCGAGGAGGACGGGATCGAGAAACTCCACCGAGTCTACCTCCCCTGGCCAAACTGCCCTTCGTCGTCTCTGTTCGCCAGAGCCAGCGAGTCTCCCTCCCCTATCTCGAGTCTCAACCATCCTTCGTGGCTTCGTCTTCTTCGGTTCAGCTCAGCCCTTCTCAACAACATCAGAATCATCATCACCAAGGGCATCAGAACTCCATTCCATAACTCCATTCAACAACATCAGAATCGTCTTCTCCACTAATAACAGATAACTCAAGAACAGGGGCGACGAAGCCAGGGGGTATTGGGGGTGTCCCGGGACACCCCTAATTTTTGGGATAACGATTATCCAACCCCCGATAGTAGTTTTCGTGTGGATAAAAAATATAAGTGACAGACTATGTGATTTAAATTAGGATACTAAGATTATTAGTAAACATGTTTTTCATTAGACCACAACTTATTTGTTATTGTATTTTAAACACTAGTTTAATAGTAAAAATGATATTCCTTCTCCCAATTATTTTGAAAATCTAACAATTGAACCTGATTACGGGTTATCCTTATTCCCTCCATTCTATCATATCCATTGGTTTACTTGCTTCTCAAGGTAATTGATTTTACCAATTGCAACTGCAGGTGTTGAAATAGCATATTTAGTTTTGGGAAACTTTAAGAACAAGTTTCGAAATTGATTAAATGATCAGTTTGTGAATGATTGTATAGTAAGATGGAGATATTTGTTGAGTCGTCCAAATACTGAGTATATTTTGTAACACGCCATAGACTTTTGTTTTAACTTGTATTAGCTAGATATTTTCTAATTTAAAATTATTTAATTATTTATTTAATTTTTGAAAGAGAATACTTCTATATAAATTCACTGCTCAAGAAGGTTAGTGTTATCGCCTAGGGATTTTGAGTTTGTCTGGCGAAGTTCATGATAAGCCTTGTTTAGCGATTTTGAGTTTTGATTACTTGATTTTGATTGGTTTTAACTACCAATTGAGAACGGGAAGAATTGGGGTCTCCTCTCATCTCTTCCACTCTGCTCGCCGTTGACCCAGCCATCATCCCCTGCTCACGGTCGACCCGCCCTTCAGCCCCTGCTCGCCGTCGACCCACCCTTCAGCTCCCTGCTCGCCGCCTTGTCATTGCCGTCATCGTCTACTTCTCTTCTCGTCGACGACAACTCTTCCAAGTCGCTGCCTTATCCCCTGCGCCTCTTCTCGTCGTCGTTGCCTCTGGTGAGTTCTTGTTCTGGGTATGATTTGAAAAGTGTGGTTCTAGTTGCAGATCCTCTTCCAGCCTTTGTTGGTTGTTACTTTTTCCCTATCTCACATTATCTTGCACTAAAAATTAATTTTGGGTTGTGCATGATTTTAGCTACTGCCGACTTTATACATCCCTGGTCTGCTGGGTTTTGCTCCCCTACCACTCTGCTCGCATCATCCTTTGGTGAGTAATTTTTGGATTTATTCCTCTTTACTCCTTATATCCTCTTCACTTGGTGAGCAATATTTGATTTCTTCTTCCTTTATCCCACCAACATGCGATCCCTCCTTTTGAAATCACAGCATAGCTTTTAATTAACTATATCTATATGTGATCCCCTAATTAACCCAGGCATGTCCTTCTCTTCACTAACCCTTCTAATTGATTGTGCCAAATCTTCGTTGGTGTTTGATTACTTATTGTTGTATATCTAATATGAATGACTTGTGTAACTAGTTTTATCATGGACACTAGTGAGGTCCAAAACAAGAATGATTATGTAATGGCGGAAGGAAAGGAAGTATGGCCTAATGAGGTCAAGTTATATCTTATTGATTTGATGGTGGAAGAAGTGAAGAATGGAATCCCACTACTTTCTCAAAGGTAGGCTGGGCAAACATAAAAAATGGATTGACAAACAAGTTTAGGAAGGTTTGGAATGATGATCGGTTAAAGAACAAGTTTTATCAGTTGAGGAGAAAGCATAGGGTTTTCACTACCATCATTAGTGAGACGGCAATTAGTTACACTACGACAACGACCATCATTGATGTTTTAACAGATTTGATATTTGATGTCGTAGTTGTACTTCTTAAAATATTTGGTTGATGTACTAGTATTTTGTTTATTTGTTTAAAGCAAGATTCCTATTTGAAAACAGATATCAGTTTGTAACAATGGTATCTAAACAAGTTTTCAATTCATGTTACATGAGTTTGAATGATTCTATATTTTTTATGGCTTTAATTTTATCCAAGATTCATATTGCTGGGTTATGGATTTTGGGTTTTGGGTTCTGGTCATTGTTCCTATGTTTTAGTCCGGATACGGTTTTGTACATGCTCACCTTTGACATAAGGAGGATATTCTTGTTCGACTAGTTTACCATTAAAAAATCAGAAATCCAGGAAGAAAGAATGTCTGGTAAATGTTGCGTGGTGACCGGAGGCAGGGGCTTTGCCGCCAGGCATTTGGTGGATATGCTCATCCGATCAGACAAGTTCCTCGTTCGGATCGCTGATCTACCTCCCGCCATCGACCTCTCCCCGGAGGAGGAGAATGGAGACCTTGGTCGTGCATTGGAATCCGGCCGCGCTTCCTACGTCTCTATGGATCTCCGCAACAAGCCCCAAGTCCTCCAAGGTTTTTTACAATCTTCTTTTATCGCTTTCGATTCGGTTTGGGGTTCTTATTGCTGACACTCCTGCTTTTTGTTTGTTTTCTTTTTGCTGCAGCTCTTAAAGGAGCTGAGGTTGTTTTCCACATGGCGGCCCCGCATTCAGGTATCAACAACTACCAGCTCCACTATTCAGTCAACGTGGAAGGAACCAAGAACGTGATTGATGCTTGCGTCGAGCTTAAAGTGAAGATCCTAATCTTCACTAGCTCTGCTAGTGTGGTTTTTGATGGGATTCATCCAATCTTCAATGGAGATGAATCATTGCCGTATCCACCCAAGGTAGTATTTCATTGCATACTTCTTCTTCAGGATGTTGATCTTAGAACTAAGCCTGCTAGATGGAGATGGCTTATGGTGGTTGTAATTGTTTCAGCCTCTTGATTCCTACTCTGCGACTAAAGCAGAAGCAGAGGCTGCTGTCCTTAAGGCAAATGGTACTAATGGGCTTCTTACTTGCTCCTTACGTCCTAGTAGCATATTTGGTCCTGGAGATAAATTGTTTATTCCTTCTCTTGCTGAGTCGGCGAGGGCTGGCAAATCCAAGGTAATGCTTGTTATTAGAGAGAGCATCACACATTGACAATCCTTCTCTGGCTATTTCTGTCATACTTGACGACACATGTATGTCTGTTACTTACAGCATTATAATGAGGCTGTTTAGCTATTAATTTTTTTTTTGGGTAATATCTGTGAGCAGTTCTTAATTGGTGATGGCAATAACGTCTACGACTTCACGTATGTTGAGAATGTGGCACATGCTCACATATGTGCTGAACAAACTTTGTCATCATCAGGGGAGGCTGCAGAGAAAGCTGCAGGGCAGGTACGATTAAGATTTTGTTACACTCACAAAGGTTATGTTTGTTTGGACCTTGAATGCAATAGAATCTGAAACTAGCTACATTTTTAAGTCTAATGAGGAGTAGGTTTGTCTTATGCGAACTCGTTCTGTACAGTTGTGTTTTTGGGCTCGTTTTTGTAGAGAGGGCAGATGTAGCTGTAATGATTTACTTTGACATTGCTCCACTCATTACAAAATTACAGAGTAAAATTAATGATTAAGGTTCTCTTTCAGTTTTCCCTGAATTAATGTTTCATTTGTTGCTGAAATCCGATGCTTAAGCATGTTGGGCTGTAGATGGTTCGGAATAAAATAAAGTAGCATTACCCTGTTCATTTGCTGTGTGAATGATGATAATTCAATCATTACATCTGCTGGTGGTATTATGTTATGGTTTTCTTTAAGGTAAAAACCTAAGCCAGCCAATCGTATTGAAAATTTCCAGACTCCATTAGTATTATGAACGAGCAGTTATTGTTAGGAACTTGGTAGCCTTTCAAGTCTTATACCTTAAGTACCTTTCATACTGAAAGTTGAGTCATTCATACCATTTTATGTTCCTTTATTACTTTGAAGATGCTAAATATGCAATAAGATCTGTTTTCTTCGTTTGAGGGGTTCATCATTGGCAGCATTGATATGTTATTGCAGTATGTGCATTATGGATTAGTTTCTATCTTTCTCTCGTGGTGGATACATGATTATCCCATTCTTGAAAAACTCTGAAGATGATAACCCTATTTTACCCATGTAATGTTGGTGTTTGCTTCTAAGTCATGCCTGCATGATTGGGACGTGGTTTGTGGGTCATTTCTCAAATGTTGGCTGATATTTATAGGCATATTTTATAACCAACATGGAGCCTATCAAGTTTTGGGAGTTCACTGGAAATGTTTGTGCAGGTCTTGGTTATGAGAGGTACTCTTTATATTTGTACATTAATTTTTTTTAGTACTACATTGTTTTAGAATTGAACGAAATACTTCTCATTGATAGTTTGTTACACGTTTGCAACTTCTGACTGAGAATAGTGATTTGCGAGACCTCTCTGGGTCCATTGTCAGTTAAAGCGCTCTTTTGTTCCACAATGGTTTGCACACTGGCATTCGGTATCCATAAATGAGTATTCTGCTCACTATACAGTGAACTAGCTCTGAACATCTGCTTTATTCTATCTCTTTTAACCTGATTTGATGTACTTTGCAGGCCAAGGATCAAGGTTCCTGCTATTGCTGTATTGCCAGTTGCTCATGCAATTCAGTGGGCATATAATCTACTCGGCACATATGGGATGAAGCTCCCAGTGTTGATTCCTTCAAGAATTAGGCTTCTTTCTGGCAACCGATCATTTAGTTGTGCAAAGGCTCATGAACGTCTTGGCTATACACCAATTGTATCACTCGAGGTTTGTCAACATTCTGCTGTGATTCAATTTCCCTATTTAGTGCAAACATGCGTTTGGTCCAGTGTTATTGTCATTAGTCTTGAACCTGGAGGTCTCATGTTCGAATCCCTTCAGTAGCACCTAATTAAAAAAACAAACAAACATAGATCATCCTTATATAAAGAATTCTCTATTTAGTATTTAGTGATGTTATGCATTGTTTTGTGAATAAAGGAAATTATCCTTGTACAGCTTCCACAAAAGTTGGATAGTATAAAATTACAGAGTTGAATCACCTCCTGATGTCCTAATTTATTACTGTGAAATTGTTAAATATCTCTTCAACGTAAATAAGTGTTTGTCAAACTGTTTTTCCATGCAAACCCAGTCTTTGTATACCGAGCTTAAAACTGCCCTGTTTATTTGCTTTCCCAGCTAATAATATATATTAACAGCTAAAAGTGGAGGCACATAAATAAGAAACAACTTAGACAGCAGTACCTGTGCAGTTGAGTTTATCTTTTTCGATTGCAGGATGGTTTGAAAAGGACTATTGAGTCATTTTCACATCTTAATGCTGAGAATCAACCTAAAAGAGAAGGGCAATCTAAGGCTTCATTATATCTTGGAAATGGAAAAGGTATGATTGTTAAATTATTTGCTATATTTGTTAGAGTGTGTCGTTCACGTCGTGCCAAGAGGGAGAAACGAATATGCAGACTGGGTCATGAAATCCAGAGCTAATTGGACCTTCCTAATGATTGAATTCATATCTAGATCTCATTTACCACCTGATGTAATATACTTAGCATGTACTTCAACCGCAGTTACAAATTTGATGGAAACCCGACTAGTGGCGTCGGGTCGGGTTAGGACAGAAGGAGCAGATTCCCGCCAGTGCCCTTTTGTTTTTTTTACTATTATAATTTTGTTGAGTTATTTTTCAGAACAACTATTTAAGGATTGAGACATTGTTATTTGAGATAATGAAAGAACAATATTGAATCTCTAATTTCCTAACTCTCCTTCTCTTCTCCATTATCATTTGCAGTCGCTGACACACTACTTTGGAAGGATACCAAGAAGACACTCATCGTGTTGCTAGTTCTAATTGGGATTTACTACAGTTTCATTTCGTCTAATGCTACCATTATTACTGCGACTTCAAAGCTTCTCTTGATGGCAGCAATTTTTCTATTCGTCCACGGCAGATTACCTGAGAAAATGTATGTCCCTTATCCCTTCCTTTCGGTTTTCAGTCCTATGTTGATTTTCGTGCGGCTATAAGTGTGAAAATCTACCCGATGGGAAAGTGAGGGTTTCAGTGTCGATGAGAGACCTGTGAAAGAATGCCATTGATTTGATGTTCTTTGGATGGGTACTGCTGGATGCACAACCCATTTGCTTCTTACTGCCTTAAAGTCTTGAACATGCAAGCTTTGAGTGACTAACAGAAAAGTATGATTTGTGTTTGTATTATACTCCAACCTCTTGGTGTAAATTTGGAAGGGAGACTATTCTTCATCTAGATTAAATGCAGCGGGAACTAATATAAAGCCAGATTGAATAATGTATGAGCTTTTGGGACTCAGTATGTTTTGTCTGTAAGAGCCTTCAGGTGCTCTGAAATATATATATTGGATGTGAGAACCATCATAGAAGCTTTCGGTGTTGTTTAATTAAGAGAACTGGACTATTATAGTGTGCTAGTGACACATTTGCTTCATACGTACAGATTTGGGTATAAAATCGAAAAGATCCATCCGTCTGATTTTTACTGGACTGAGAAGAAGTCTTACCAAGTTGCTCATGTATTAGCTTCGTTCTGGAATGCCGGGATCAACATTCTAGAATCTCTTTGCAAAGGGAAGGACTGGTTGCTTTTCCTCGAGGTACTTAAATGTTTACGAGTTGTTTTCATTATGTGTAAAATGTTTAGTAAGTGATGTACATAAAGTGGTATAGTACGAATAAGAGTCTTTACTAGTGGTTGTTTAAGTTATTCAAACGAGTGAACACTTTGTTTTAACTAGCTTGTGTAAAATACGCTTACTTTGGAACAGGTTGTCTTGTCGCTGTTGATCATTGGCTTCATAGGGACCATTTCCCTTCACTCATTGTTTGTAATGGGTACTCTCTCTTTTTTCCTACCAACTCTTATACTTGGCCTTCTGATCAGTAATTAATTACGTTGCTAATCGCCATGTCACATGATTATCATAACTGCAGGAGTTCCCACAACATTTTTAGGGTTCTACTTGTACGAAAGGAACGAAGAAGCGATTGATGGTTTGGTGTCGGATGCTCTCTCTTACGGATATAAATTGAAATCTCAAATCATCCACAAAGTAACTAGTCCAAAACTTGACTAACAAGGAAGGCTCATTAGATTAACTATGCAGTTTCTTCTTTGTTTTCCTCCCTTTGCTTGACAGTTTTGTAATGGGTAGTTAACGTCACGGAAACATACATGGTCAGCTGGGTTTGATCGTTGGGGTTTATTTATTTGGGGATAATGACTTGCCAGTCATTATCGCGTTCTGTACGCTATAGTTCTTGAGTTTATTTGGCTAATATAACTTGATCATTTAAACTTATAGTATTAGACCTATCTAGAGTTGCAAATGAGTCTAGTGGAATTTTACTCTAGTTTGAGTTCGGCGAGTTAATAGACGACTTGAGCTCGAGCTAGATTCGTTTATTAATGAGGCGACTCGAGTTCGAGTTAGCTTGTTTAATAAAATCTTGACTTATATTTGATATATTCATTTTCTATGTCATACATGATACATTTGATACATTTGAGTAATGTCAACATTAAAATAATAATAGCTATAGTTAAGTGTTTAACTAGTGAAATTATGTTATTTCGAAGTATCGAAGCAATCTATGTTATAAAATTTCTTTTTAAAATTAAATAAGACATTTTCTCACATAATCTATGTGTTAAACTTCACATAGAGTGAGATTTATAATTTAACAAATCCTATGAATTATAAAAATCAAACTCATATAGATCGATTTGCTCATACCTAATTGAGTTGGCTCTCTAGCCACAATGTTGAGAGTTGCGACATCTCATGAGCTCTAAACGAGCCAGCTCACGAGTTGAACTTAACAAGCCACCGAGTCAAGCTAGCTCGCGAGCTCTCCGAGCTGCAAAGGGGGCTCAAGCTCAGCTCATTAATAAACGAGCCTAGTTCAGAACGAGCTTATCCCGAGTCGAACGCCGAGCCGCTCGCGAGCAGCTCAAATCATTTGCAGCTCAAACCATTCATCTCTATACTAGTTGGCATCATCGTCTTTGTCCTTGGCCATTTTGGAAGTAAAAAATTTGGTATAATTATCATTCCCTCTGGTTAGATACGGGTAAATTGCAAGTTTGGTTACTGGAATTACTTAAAATGTTCACGTTTGCCACTGAAATTAATTTATTCAATCCGTAGTCATTCAAATTAGTTCAACAGTTCAAGTTTGGTCACTCCCCGTTAACTTTATCTGATGTGGCAGTCAACTCTGAGAGTTGACCGTTAAATAAGTAACGTGACAATTAAAAAAAATTAAAAAATAAAATTTAATCTTTTAAAAATTCCAGCTCATTATATGATTATCACAATAAATTGAAAAATAACAAAAATAAAATAAAATAATTGCAATAACAAAAAATGAAAAATTGGAAAACAATATTCATTCTCACATCTTATTTAACGAGGGTGCTTTGGATTGAGGAAGCTATGGATGTGGGTGGGCTCATGGCAAGCACATCCTAATTATCCTCCATGTGCTGTAAAACCTTTCCGCACCTTCCTACACACACAACTTCTCATCTCCGCCGGAGTGCTCGGGCTGTCTCAGGCGACGATGTCCCGTCCGACCTCATTCCAATCTCCCTCTCTTCTTCAACCCGCATTCCAATTTCTTTGCACTGCAATTTGGTCTCCCTTTCGGAAACCCACAACTTTCCCTCCCTTCCAGTCTCAAATTTCACTGTGCAGAGCCAGAAACCCCAATCCGCACAGCTGCTCAGCCGTGTCCGACAGCTCACCCGTAGAACAATCTCCGTAGCCGCCATCCATCGTTTTTCTAAACTGAAACTGAAGGAGAATTTTGGGATTGATTTTCTAATTTTTATTTTTTTATTGCAATTATTATTATTTTAATTTATTGTGATAATGAGGTGGAATTTTTAAAAGATTATTTTATTATTTTTTAATTGCCACGTCACTTATTTAATGTTCAACTCTCAGAGTTGACTGTCACGTCAGCTAAAGTTAATAGAGACTAAAGAAGAACGACCAAACTTGAACTGCTGAACTAATTTGAGTGACTACGTAAGAAATAAATTAATTTCAGTGGCAAACATGAACTTTTTAAGTAATTCCAGTGACCAAACTTGCAATTTACCCGTTAGATATGCAAAGATGTGCTTGGGTTGACTTATAGAATAATATATATGAAAGAATTTTACCAGATAATAGATTTGTAAGAATTTTACTTAACATGATTACATGAATAAAAAATTCATGATGCACATCATTGTAGACTTTTCAGATTTGAAGGTGCAACAATGGTCAGAAACTATCCCCTCAATTGCTAGGCCAAAGTAAGTATTATAGGCTACAATTGTAGCCCTCTTGGCCCAAGCAATTGAGGGTTGACTTACCTTCTCCCTCTAACCAAGGTTTGGACGACATAATCACAATTAACCAAGGTGTCTAATTCAAGTTTAAAGGGTTGCCCTTCATTGATCTAGTTAGGAGGCATGCCTAAGAAAACCCAGCTCAATTGAGCCTCTTAAGATAAGGGGGCTTCTCTCTAAGCTAGTTAGGAGACATGAAATGCCTAAGAAAACCCAGCTCAATTTGATCCCTTAAGATAAGGGGGCTTCTCTCTAAGCTAGTTTAGGAGGCATGGAATGCCTAAGAACACCCATCTCAATTTGAGCCTTAAAATAGCAGAATAGATTGCCAAGCACACACAAATGCACAATCACCATGAAAAATACCTCAATTCTTAAATTAAACACCACCATTACACAATCAATTACATGGTAGAAGTTAGGGTTCTACAACACCCAAGTGAAAAGGGAAACTATTTCATGCTAGACAAATGAAGAACACAAAGGAAGAAGAAATAAACCATCATTGTGATGCCTCCAACCCTCCTTGTGCTTGTAGAGATCCTCTCTTGAAGAAGAACTTCCCAAATCTTCACTTGGAGCAAAGCCCTAGCCTCTTCTCCCTCTTGGTTCGTGCTTTCTCTCTCTAGGGTTTCAAGAAGAAGAAGGTTTCTCTCACTTTGGGCTCCCCCTTCTTCTTCCTTTCAGCTCTCAATTGATACAAAGATCGAAGCCAGTTCACGGCCGTGAACATTAGTGCCGAACCGTGAACTCTGATCAAAACGCCCCGCTTCACTTATGGGGTTCACGGTCCATGACTCTAATGTTTGACCGTGAACTACGACTGGATCCTCCTCTTTGCCCGGTCTTTGCTCATTTTCTTTCAACTTTCGACTCCATGGTTGGTTTCACTTGTTAGATTCTGAAAAACATAGAAACACAACAAACCTAGCGCAAAACCACCCTTTTCGGAGTTCAAATTCCACAAACGTCAAAGAGAAATGAGGATAAAAAGTGTACATTTATCCCTGAATCACTCCCCCACACTTGGACATTTGCTTGTCCCCAAGCAAACCATTTCACACAAGGTAATACCTCAACCTAACAAAAACGGGCAACCGAAAAGTTCTCACCATGTTCATGAATCAATGCAAGTCTCAACAAGATCACTTATCAACCTCGGCCAAAAGCCTTACTTCTCCCTTCCAAACTATCACCCATCATGCATCACCAAAAGCCTTACTACATTCAAGTACACTTCCTCAGTCTATTCTTGCTAGCACATTTCAAACATAGCAGTAAAGGAGTTCAACAATATTTTGGGTGTTTCAATGGCTTGAGTGCCAAGAAACCCCTCCTAGAGAATACACTTTGATTTTGGGTGGCAACTCTCTACTTTATTTGGAATTTTTCAAGAAATACCACTATTTAAAAAAATTTACAAAAACACCACCCAACCCCAAAATTTCCAAAAACACCACCATTTCTCGAAAAGCGCGCAAAACCGCATGATTACAGGGCAATTTCGAAAACCGCTTGGGTTCGGGGCGGTTTGGTAAAAAAACCGCCCCCTACCAAGTGGTTTGATCCAATTTTTTTCTTTTTCGATCAACTCATAACTTTGGCTAAAACTTCAAACAAGCGTAACTTTGCACTCACGTATCCGATTGCAACGAAATGTTTTTTTGCTTCCGCATAACTTCTTAAGCACTACAACTTTTACTAGGAAGGAATTTTTTAGTCGGAATTTGCGAGAAAAAAGGTCTCTAAAAAAATGTTGGTATTTCCCCAAATAGGCTAGTGGGCTCACGAAAAGTTAGGTTTTGAGGGCATTTTCTCATTGCACGGATGCCCAATTAGGGAGTGGGAGGTGGCGTTGGAATCGTGTGACCGAGAAAAACGTCCTGTAGTTGGAATTTGTGAGAAAAAGGTCTCTAAAAAAGTCGGTTTCTTCCCAAATAGGCTAGTCGGCTCACGAAAAGTTCGGTTTAGAGGGCATTTTCTCATTGCACGGATTGCCAACGAGAGATTTGGAGGTGGTGTTGGAATTGTGTGACCGAGAGGAACGCCCTAGAGTTGGAATTTGCGAGAAAAAAGGTTTCTAAAAAAAGTTGGGGTTTTCCCAAATAGGCTAGTGGGCTCGCGAAAAATTTGGTTTAGAGGGCATTTTCTTATTGCACGGATGGCCAATGAGGGATTGGGAGGTGGCATTTGAATCGTGTGATCGAGAGTAACACCCTGTAGTTGGAAGTTACGAGAAAAATATCTCTAAAAAATGCTAGTTTTCCCCAAATAGGCTAGTGGGCTCACGAAAAGTTTGGTTTAGACGACATTTTCTCATTGCACGGATGACCAATGAGGAATTGGAAGGTGGCGTTGGAATCGTGTGATCGAGAGGAACGTTCTGGAGTTGGAATTTGCGAGAAAAAGATCTCTAAAAAATATCGTTTTTTCACTAAATAGGCTAGTGGGCTAACAAAAAGTTCGGTTTAGAGGGCATTTTCTCATTGCACGGATGGTCAATGAGGGAGTGGGAGGTGGGGTTGCAATCGTGTGCTCGAAAGGAACGCGTTGAACTTGGAATTTGCGAGAAAAAAGGTCTCTAAAAAAATGTCGGTTTTTCCCCAAATAGGCTATTGGGCTCACGAAAAGTCAGGTTTAGATGGCATTTTCTCATTGCACGGATGGCCAATGAGGGAGTGGGAGGTGGCGTTGGAATCGTGTGACCGAGAGGTACATCTTGGAGAAAGAATTTGCGAGAAAAAAGGTCTCCAAAAAAGTAGGTATTTTCCCCAATAGGCTAGTGGGCTCACGAAAAGTTTAGTTTAGAGGGCATTTTCTCATTGCACTGATAGCCAATGAGAGGGTCTAGGGTTTAGGGTTCAGGGTTTAGGGTTCAGGATTTTAGGGTTCAGGGTTTTAGGGTTTAGGGTTCAGGGTTTTAGGGTTCAGGGTCCAGGGTTCAGAGTTTTAGGGTTTAGGGTTGAGGGTTGAGGGTTTAGGGAGGTGGCGTTGGAATCGTGTGATCGAGAGGAACATTCTGGAGTTGGAATTTGCGAGAAAAAGATCTCTAAAAAATATCGTTTTTTCACTAAATAGGCTAGTGGGCTAACAAAAAGTTCGGTTTAGAGGGCATTTTCTCATTGCACGGATGGTCAATGAGGGAGTGGGAGGTGGGGTTGCAATCGTGTGCTCGAGAGGAACGAGTTGAACTTGGAATTTGCGAAAAAAAATGTCTCTAAAAAAATGTCGGTTTTTCCCCAAACAGGCTATTGGGCTCACGAAAAGTCAGGTTTAGAGGGCATTTTCTCATTGCACTGATGGCCAATGAGGGAGTGGGAGGTGGCGTTGGAATCGTGTGACCGAGAGGTACATCTTGGAGAAGGAATTTGCGAGAAAAAAGGTCTCCAAAAAAGTAGGTATTTTCCCCAATAGGCTAGTGGGCTTACGAAAAGTTTAGTTTAGAGGGCATTTTCTCATTGCACTGATAGCCAATGAGAGGGTCTAGGGTTTAGGGTTTAGGGTTCAGGGGTTTAGTGTTCAGGGTTTAGGGTTCAGGGGTTCAGGGTTTAGGGGTTCAGGGTTTTAGGGTTCAGGGTCCAGGGTTCAGGGTTTTAGGGTTTAGGGTTCAGGGTTTAGGGTTTAGGGTTTAGGGAGGTGGTGTTGGAATCGTGTGATCGAGAGGAACGTTCTAGAGTTGGAATTTGCGTGAAAAAGATCTCTAAAAAATATCGTTTTTTCACTAAATAAGCTAGTGGGCTAACAAAAAGTTCGGTTTAGAGGGCATTTTCTCATTGCACGGATGGTCAATGAGGGAGTGGGTGGTGGGGTTGCAATCGTGTGCTCGAGAGGAACGAGTTGAACTTGGAATTTGAGTAAAAACGTCTCTAAAAAAATGTCGGTGTTTCCCCAAACAGGCAATTGGGCTCACGAAAAGTCAGTTTTAGAGGGCATTTTCTCATTGCACGGATGGCCAATGAGGGAGTGGGAGGTTGCGTTGGAATCGTGTGACCGAGAGGTACATCTTGGAGAAGGAATTTGCGATAAAAAAGGTCTCCAAAAAAGTAGGTATTTTCCCCAATAGGCTAGTGGGCTCACGATGGAATCGTGTGACCGAGAGGAACGCCATAGAGTTGGAATTTGCAAGAAAAAAGGTCTCTAAAGAAATTTCATTTTTCACCAAATAGGCTTGTGGGCTCACGAAAAGTTCGGTTTAAAGTGGATTTTCTCATTGCACCGATGGCCAATGAGGGGAAGGGAGGTTGTGTTGGAATCGTGTGACCGAGAGGAACGCCATAGAGTTGGAATTTGCAAGAAAAAAGGTCTCTAAAGAAATTTCATTTTTTCACCAAATAGGCTTGTGGGCTCACGAAAAGTTCGGTTTAAAGTGCGGTTTCTCATTGCACCGATGGCCAATGAAGGGAAGGGAGGTTGCGTTGGAATCGTGTGACCGA